TGTCAGCCTAGCTCACAGCAACCTCAAACTCCTGGGCTCAAGCAATCCTTCTGCCTCAGCCTCCCGAGTAGCTGGGACTACAGGCATGCGCCACCATGCCCGGCTAATTTTTTCTATGTATTTTTAGTTGTCCGATTAATTTCTTTCTATTTTTAGTAGAGACGGGGTCTCACTCTTGCTCAGGCTGGTTTCGAACTCCTGAGCTCAAACAATCCGCCTGCCTCGGCCTCCCAGAGTGCTAGGATTACAGGCATGAGCCACCGCGCCCGGCCAACTGTGAGCTTTTTGTTCTCATTTATTTATTGTTAATATAAATATCACAGGGACACTGTATAAGTTCCTGGTAATGTGCCAGTGAGCAAGACAAAGTCTCTGCTCTCATAGGGATTACAGTCTAGTAAGGGACACATTTATTACACCAATAATTATCCAAATTGTTGATTGATTAAGACTGTGATGACTGTTACAAAGGAGAAATACAGGATGCTATGAAAGTATATAATGGGGGCCAGAACTTCTTGTATAATTAATTAGAGAGTTTAATCAGAGTTCTGATTATTAACAAGAAAAGCATGAGGCAGCTTCTCTCCTCCCCCCGCCCCACCAAGTTCAAGGCTAGGTCAGATTGGCTGTAGGACCCACATCTTTCAGAGTAGGGCAGCTAGTATGTGTCATGCCATGACCTCCAAAGACGTGGGATCTGTTTAAGACGTGGGATCTTAATCTGATTAAGCTGCGTGCACACACATACACTGCAAACTTGGGAACTTGAGCAAGTAGATTCTTTCCTAAACCGTATGCAGTTGTGATGATGTTGGTCACAGATAATACGTGAGAAGAAGGGTGCAAATGTTTACAGGATATTGCATTTCCTTTCTGATACATATTTTGACAAAGTTGTTTGGGCTGCAGCCCCAGTTTTTCCTCCCTGCTCTTACAAATCGGTATTTGGTCCATTCAGGAAACGATATGGAAATCAGTCCTGACACCCAAGACAGACAAAATGAGACACATGACAGCAAAACATATGGCTCGAATAGACATCCTTATATGGCCAACACAGACCATATTCCCAGAAATTCATATATGGAAAACACCACCTGCAGCTAAAGCCAAAAACAAAGAGTTGACATGACAAAAAGAGCAATATGTTACATAAATTGTGCTGCTTTAAACATGTAGCGAGATAGCCAACTGTATTTGAATTAAAAAAGATGAAAAAAAAAAACATGTCCTTAGAAAGTGTTATGGTGGTAAGCATTGCTTTGCTAGCATAGTCACTGGCGGAGTTGCCATATCTTAAAAGCATTCAAATTCTAAATGCTTTCTCTGTTTATTACAAATGTATGTGCTATTCAGAACTCTGAATGTGTTTTAATGCTTTCGGATATCTGCCTGCATATTTATCTTAATACATTGCCATCTGAAACATGCAGTAGTCCATTCATTAAGTTTTAAAAAATCTTGTGTGTAGCCAGTATAATGCCTTCTCCTCATGTGATAGAAAATGGATGTACTCTGTTTTAAATGTATGTCCACATGTTAAATAATAGTTCATGTATTTGAGTTGCAGTATTTTATGTTCTTGATAGCAACGTTTATAAAGTTTATTTTGTTTTAACTTTTTTCAATGCTTAACTTGAATCTTTATTGTTAAATATAAAATGCCTGTGTAGAATCAGTTGATGTTTTTTCCTCTCACCATGATAGTTGATGCTCAGATATGCTATCAAGGTGGGATTTTCTTAACGATTGCTATGGATTGAATATTTGTCCCCTCCAAAACTCATGTTGAAATTTAATCCCCAATGTAGCAGTATTGAGAGGTGGGGCCTTTAAGAGGTCATTGGGTCATGAGGGCTCTGCCCTCCTGAATAGAGTAATCCATTCATGGATTAATGGATTAATGGGCTAATGGATTAATGGGTTATCATGGGAGTAGGACTGGTGGCTTTATAAGAAGAGGAAGAGAGACCTGAGCTAGCACATTCAGCCCCCTCGCCATGTGATGCCTTGTGCCACCTCCGGACTCTGCAGAGAGTTCCCACCAGCAAGAAGGCCCTCTCCAGATAAGTCCCCTCAACCTTGAACACCTCAGCCTTCATAACTGTAAGAAATAAATAATTTTTCTTTCTAAATTACCCAGTTTCAGGTATTGTTATAGGCAACAGAAAACAGACTAAGACAATTATCTTTCTTTTTATCTTCTGTATTTTGAACTGGGTTTATGTGGCCAGTACTCAGTGGCTATAATGAATATCCTAAAGGGGTGAATAATATATAGTAATTAAGTTCATCAGTGTAGTACACCACTAGGGCATAAGCCTCTATGTGCCATTTTACTTACATCATTTCTTATAATCATATAGTTCTGGGGAAAATATGCTTGAGGGAAAAATTAATATGTATATGTGATTAATACATTCATAATTGTACTATATTGTTATTCTTTATGATAAAGCCATTATTAGATGCCATTATGCTCATTTATTCTGTTTATCATTTTCCAAGGCCATGTCAGTCTTTATCACATGCTTAATTTTGTGTTTGTGAATAGGTTTATGATTCCTGGATAAAAGGTACTATTCAAATTTAAAGTTACTATATTACTTCCCATGTTACATTATCATTAGCAAGCTAAAGTAGTCAGGATGCATTTTGTCTTATTTATTTGTGCAAAATGACGGGATAAACATACTTATAATATTTTATTCCAGTGTATCTTAATGTTGATACCTTCAATAATCTTTGTTTAGTGTTCTTTTATCTCAAATTTTGTATAACAGCTTTTTTTCTTTTGAAACATTCAGAATGAGGTGGAGTTGCATGGGCACATGACTTTTTTTTGTGGTCCAGTATAATTTTTCTTTATTTTTAAATTTTGCTATTGTTTGCAAATTTGTACAACATGATGCTAGAGTCCCTACCGAAAACAAAGCAGATTTCAAGGAAACATGTCAGGCATTACCAGTTTGAAGCAACTAATAAACTATCCATATTAGAAATTTCAAATTTAACCTTTTATATTGTAAAAATCATTGAGATGTTTTTCTTTTAAATATCAAATACCTTTTTAAAATAAGTTTTAAGTACCTCCATCCACAGTACTCTGACACAAGTGCTCCATTTTGCCATGTTCGTGTATTCCCTTATTGATTATATTTCTTATACTTTAGTTAAAACAGCCTCATCCATATTTTCTCACATTTAAACTTTTAAAAATTTAGTATCATTTGAGCTTTTTACTAAAGATTGCCTTAAATTTCATTTCTCATTTTTGATGCTGTGTTTTGTGTTTAATTATGACATGTTCTTTCTTTTGCTCAAGGCTTGGATTTGTGTGCCAACATTCAAGGTTGCCTTCCTCGAATTTTGACTAACCTTTCTGGTTTGTGGGTGAAACTTGGGTGCTATTAGGGTGGTATATTTTCATTGTTTTCATTGTCCTAAACTTGTCCTACGTCAGGAAGCCATCATTTCCTATACTTTACCTTCTGCTTTTCTTCGATTTTTTTAATGTAAACAGTGTGTCTAAGAGTGTCTTGGTAGCTTTAAAGAGCTTAATTTGCATATTTCCCTCTTATCTCGGTAACTTGTGCAAACTTGTTGCTTTTTTATCTGTAAGAAAATGTTTATCTGATTGATTTTTCTCTTTTCCCTACCAGTGTATTTTGAAAAAATAACTCATAACATTTTTTGTTGTTTAATGATTAACTGCCTTCAGTGTGCCAAAGTGGTAATACTAAAACCTAAACGATAAATGGTACATTTCTATTTTAGGTGAGATTGTAATGTTCTTTATTTTTATATGAACTATATTTAATAGATTATCTAAATAAGAGGATCATACTTATGTGTTAATGACTATTTATCTAACTGGCTAACTTACCCTAGATTACAGCACAGGTATTTATTGCTACATGAGATGTATTTACCAACCCAAACTTTTCTCTGTTTTGCCCAGTGTAAATTATTTTAAGAATGATAGCATCTTTTCCTTTATAAAAACAAGTCAGGTCTCTTTTCAAGTGACCCACATTTTGTTTAACTCGGCCACGTATTTCTTCTTCCAAAGTGTTCTATGGCTCAGAAGTGAGGGCGTTTTGAACCGAAGTCTGACTAGTACAGAAAGCTGTTACCCAAGTTCTTTTTAATGTTGGCTTTTAATAGTTTAGGGACACTCTCCTTTGAGGATAAATATTCGGGAGAGCGTTTCAAGGCTTCTGGCCTTCATTGCTCTACAAATGTTTCTGCAGCTTCGGTGCTTCTCCGGAGAGATCTACCTTCCGACTACCCCGTTAGCCACTTCCTGAAGTCTCCCTACATCAGTCCCGGCGCCTGTCACCTGCATGCCTGGGCCCCTGTCCCGCGGGGCCGGTGTTCCCTCCTCCCCCCGCCTCGCCTCGGGTGCCCGCCTGCGACGCTCCCAGCGTATTCCTTTTTGTGGCTTTTGTGGTGTGTGGGTGTTTGGTTAGTTTTTCCCCCTGGCCCTCGCCCCCTCCTCCCCATCACTTTCATTCCCCTCGCCTCTCGTGCCAGTCCTGCCCCTCCTCCCTCCCGCTCACACTCGCACACCTGCCCCTGCCGCCCGCGCGGCGCGCGCTCCCCTCCCCGCTCGGCGGCCGCTGCCAGGGAAGCCCCCTCTCCTCCTCCCCTCTGCGCCCTCCCTGGCGCGTCTGGCGGCGGCCGGCGCTAGCCCTCGCGCAGCGCCCTGTTATTCTGGGTATTGTGTGTAATAAATGTCGGGCCGCCTCACTCTAATCAAGCTCATTACAAATTCTTGCGCGCCCGGGGCCGGAAATCGTGCGCTCCCCCCCTTCCCTCACTCATTCACTAGTTACTTGTCTTTCGGCTTTTTAACTCGCCGCCCCCGCCCCCTCCCCCAATCCCGGCCCTCCAGCCCGGGTTTTAATCCCCATCCCTTTTCCGCCTTCTCCGTGCACCCTGCACCTCCCCCCCCGTCGCCTTCCTCCTCTGCTCCGCACCCCCTTCCTCCTCCTCTCCCTCCCCCTCCGCCGCCGCCGCCGCCGCCACTTTCTCGCTCGCTCCCGTTCCCCGGACGCGGCGGATGAGCCGGCCCCGCTGGGGAAGGCTGCGGGCGGCGGCGGGCGGCCGGGAGGAGGCTGCGTGCTCGGGGCTGGGGCTGCGAGCGGGGTGATTTTGTATTAAAATGAGGAGGAGGAAGAAGAGGCACCCACAGCGGCGGCGGCAGCGGCGGCAACAGCAGCAGCAGGAGCGGCGGCGTAGAGGGCTGCAGCTCGGGCGGACGCGCGGAGCCGAGCTGGGCACGGCGGCGGCGGCGACAGCGGCCGGGATGAGTCAACTAATAATTTAATGGGGGCAGAGACGGCAGCGAGGGGGAGAGCGAGCGAGGGGGAGAGAGAGAGAAACAGCCCCGTCCGGGGACTCGCGCTCACACGCACGCACACACACACACAAACAGACACACACCTCTCCCTGTGCCACCCAGCAACAACCGGCCTCGTCACAACAACAACAGCAACAGCCGCCCTCTAGCCTGCCCGGGGACCCAGCATAAAGCCAGGGCGACTCCGGAGGACGCTTTCCACCCCCCTCTCTCATTTCGGGAAACTCCTGAGCAGTTTCGTTGGGGTTTCTGGGTTGCTTTTTTCCCCAAGTCCTAGTGCCATTGTGGTGCTCGTTGTTTACCTCGGACTCCGGCCGAGTGAGAGCTTGGCGACTTTTGGGGGGAGGGGGCGGGGAGTTTGTCGCTGCCGAGGCGGTAGAGGTGGCTGGGGGTGCCTTCTGCTCTTCCTCGCCCCCTCCCCCCAATCCCTCTTTCTCCCTCACTCACTGGGACCCCCGACGCTCAGCCCTGCGTCAATGGGCAGGGAGAGGGTCCTTGGGGCTGTTGTCAGCGAGGGCGGAATCAAAAGTGGCATTTTAGTGCCTTTGCGGGGCTTTTTTCGCGACTCTCTGCTCCCCACCCTCGCTGTCCCCCGGTAGATGCCCTCGTTAGGGGTGCGAGGCTGTGGGGAAAAGTTTAAGGTTTGTTAATATTAGTCGCAATTGTTGGGGAGGGGGTGGGGGTGATTGGAAGGGAGGCGAGGTGGCCTTCCCCTCTCTGCGTTCTCCGGGGTTACTGGAGAATAATATTGCAAGTGACAGTCAGAAGTAGACTTTCTGTCCTCACACCGAAGAACCCGAGCGAGCAGCAGGGAGGGAGGGAGGCGAGCGGACCTTTTTATTTCCTTTTTGGAGACCTTGTCCGCAGTGATTTTTTTTTTTCTTTTTAAGAGAATCCTCAGTCACCACCTCGCTTCCCCAGCACCACCACAGTGTACAGCTCATAACGGGTTTTGCTTTGTTTTTACGATTTCCCCCCAACGAATCACTTGTCAGATCAATTTTATCTTCTTCCTCCTCCCGGCTTCCCACTCTCCCCTCCTCCCCATCGAAAACCCCGTTCTCTGAGGTTAGACATTTTACAAACCCATATATGTTGTTTCTCGAATTGTGATTTTTTTTTTTTTAAGCCCCCTCTCCCATGGCTACTCTTCTAGACGTTTATTTCTGCCCTTCCCCCGCTTAGGGGGGCGGGGGTAGGGGAAGGGAAAATAATACAATTTCAGGGGAAGTCGCCTTCAGGTCTGCTGCTTTTTTTTTTTTTTTTTAATTTAAAAAAAAAGGACATAGAAAACATCAGTCTTGAACTTCTCTTCAAGAACCGGGCTGCAAAGGAAATCTCCTTTGTTTTTGTTATTTATATGCTGTCAAGTTTTGAAGTGGTGAGTTTCAGGTCGGTTTTGCTAATTTCACTCAGTAAAACTGCAGTGTTTCTGTTTCTAGATAGTACTTTGCTTCTTTGTCTCTTTAAAAGGTCACAGTGAAAGCTTGGCCTGGATCGTGCCGGCCATATGGAATGGATAAGGGCACAATCTTAAAATGTGATTATAGGGTTCTGTGGGGGCGAGGGAGGCGATCCAGCTAGGAACTCATTGAAAAGGATCCCACATTGCAAAAAATAGGTTCTCGAAGCCGAAATTTTGTGCTTTTCTTTCTTTCTTTTTAAAGGAAATAATTGCTGTGACTGAGTTCACTGTTTTATTCAGTAATTATCGTATATGGTCTTAGTTTATGGGCAGGAAAATGGGATTTTTAGAAACTAGCTTGTATTCTGTATGCCAACCAGACGTTACACTAAAATGGGTTTTAACATGTGTAACTCAAAAGAAACTCTTCAGCTGGCGTGTGTTGAGACCATAGTTAGTTCCCGCTGCTGTCAGTCCAGGCAGGCCTGTTGAAGGTTGCTCTTTTCAATCCCAAACTGAGGTTTGGTGAACTTTAGCCTTGGGCATGGAGTTTAAATGAGGAAATTGGGTGTTTCATGTGCATGTAATTTTGCTTTATAATGTAAAGCTTTTTACGGGATGACTTAGTGTTTAATAGATGCTTATAAGTGGGTATTCAAAGGACAATTTTGCATGACCTATATGATATTTTGATTGTCAATACATTAACTAAATTATATCTACCACTCTTTAATTTGCTGTACAGTTTATAGTGCTGTTAAGCCTCATGATCACTTAATATGTTTTATAGCATTAACTTTGATGCTGTGGTTTACTTTTTTCCTCCTTTTTTTTCCTCTTAAATTGCTCCAAGGGTTAAAGATTTTCTTTTCAAATCGTATGTTTTAAAATTCATTTCTGCTCTAGGATAAAGCAACCAATTTCAGAAAAAGCAGCTCTGTATTATAATCCACATGAAACATTGTAAAGAGTGTTTTGAATGAGTTAATAATCATTGCTCTCTAATTTTGGCTTTACACTGTAGTTTAATATAATGGAAAAGAGTAGTCTTGATAAAAAGTGGTTAAAAAAAGGCACATTTATTGTTAATGAACCTCATAACCAAAAACAGATGGGACCTCGATCAGCGGTAAACCTTTAGTTCTCAGTGTGCCACTCTGGAGTACAAAGATAAATAGCCATTATTATTTCTCAAACTTTATAGTTCTTCAGTTGGCATTCTTAAGGTTGCTTTTAAACCTCCGGATTTAACATTGCTACCTCTCTTTTCTTGATTATATGGAAAAAAGTAGTCTATGGTTAAACAGAAGAAAAAAGTGTTTACAGAAAAGCCGTGCTATTACAAACAGGCTTTTAATAAATCCAAACCCAGATTTGGTACAACAATTTTTTAAAAATACAAGCTATGTCAAATTACTAGGCAACTGGAAGAAATGGTAATTATCATATTTTCTCTGTTTTTTTTTAAATATGATCCCCTTAGTTTGGTAAGCTCAATATCTGAAGTACTATGAAAGTTCATAAAATAATTCTTACTTGTTCTTATCAGTTCTAGTTAAAACTGTATTTTAGAAGTGACTTTGATATTGTACTAATTGCTTTATTATAAACAGTATGACAACTAATGTCTAGTATATAATATAAATGAAAATAATTTTTTCTGAAGTTAATTACCATGTTAACTTAATTGCATACTAAGATTATTTTTGAGTACTGGAGATTGTGTTTTAGCAGTATCACCAAGATTTCTTTGTAAAAGTGAGCCTGACACTTCAACCTAATGTGCATATCACAAAGTATGTATGAATTTTTTGCTATTTAGTGGACACCTAAATATTAACTCTAAAACACATGAGTTGTAATGCCTCAGCAACTGAGATGTTTGAAGAAACCCTCCACTTCTTCCTGTTTGCTTGGAGTGAAATGATCCAATCACATGTTTGACCCAAGACTTGACTAGATCTTTGACTGAACACATAACTCTTGAAACTTTGATAGTAGAAAACTTTTTCTGTGCATTAACTTAAGAAAGCCAATGGAATTTAAAAAGCAGGTAGATGTTTGCTACCTTCATTTGAGATGTTTTATGTATTTTTTCTCATAAGAATTAAAATATATGTAAAAATGTAAACACATCCATTGCATTTAACTAGTATTTTGGGCTCTGATAATCTTTTCATCCTTTATTAAAATGTTACTATTGTAGTCTATAATGAGTTTCTAATTTTTAAAAATGGGGATACATAAATATAATTTGTTATTTTCTTTTTAGCTATACTTGTGGTAATTCTTGTTCTAAAAGTAACCCCATTTCTCCCCACTTTGTTTTGTTTGTAGATGAAAAATCACCTTTTTATTCATGTGTGTTGGTACAGTTTTCATAAGTTCTGTTAATTTGAATAAAAATATAGTGCTCCTATCTAGAAATATTGTAACATCTGTATTATATCTAGGTATGCAATTTTACAAATATATTTGTGGAAAGATATCTGGAGATAAAACATTTACAAGGGACACATATATAGATATGGATCCCCACCCAATTATAACATGTCGTCTTCTTTTTAAATTCTGGCAGGTGATCTTTAGACAGTGACTGAGTATGGATCATTTGAACGAGGCAACTCAGGGGAAAGAACATTCAGAAATGTCTAACAATGTGAGCGATCCGAAGGGTCCACCAGCCAAGATTGCCCGCCTGGAGCAGAATGGGAGCCCGCTAGGAAGAGGAAGGCTTGGGAGTACAGGTGCAAAAATGCAGGGAGTGCCTTTAAAACACTCGGGCCATCTGATGAAAACCAACCTTAGGAAAGGTAAATACTTCTGAGCCAAATCCTGGAAAGCTGCAAGCCTAAGGCCACATTGTGTGAGGGTGGAGTGGCAGAACATGATTTGTGTATTCTTTTCCTTGATTCTCTTTTTGATCTGAAATTAGTTACATTCTAAGTTGTTAGTATCAATGACATTTTGAAAGTATAGACTTCATGCTTGGGTGGAGCATCTTTGCTATAGACCGGACTCATTGGATATTTTGGAAAATAAGGACTGAATTAAGTATAATGGTCTTACTTTATGTAAGGGTCCATTCATAAGGTATTATTGTAGTAGAAGATAATGGAGGTGGCTGTTGCTTAAACTCACCCTGATTAAGAGTAAGACATTTAGATTGTTTGAGAAATGCCCTAGCCTTTTTCGTGAGATTATTAGGTGGTAGTCAGTTTCAGAGATTATGGAAATCTTATATAAAATGATACAGAAGTGTTGTAATGTCATTTTTTTGTGGTTTATTTTCTTAAGGACAAATTTATCAGCTAACAGTGAAAAATATGAGTGTAGTTTTAATTTTTGCTATAATTGGATATTTTTAATAAAGGAAGGAAGGGCGGATTTAGGCAAGTTTATAAGAGGAAAATGTGTAACTGTGTGACTTTTTTCTACCAATATTAAATTGATGAAGTTTAACAACTTTGTGTTTGACGCTGTCGTTTTGTAAAGCAATGCCTATCCTGTGTATAATGCATGTGCCTCATAAGGGGCTTTATTTTGTCTCTGAATAACATTTATAGGAATCAGATTTGCCTTACATTTGCTAAGCAATGGGTAAAAATGCCATATTTTAGCGACCAAGAATATTAAGTAGATAAAGTTAGAAGGCAGAGGAATTTCATTGTGTTTGATGCATAACATTTATCATACAATCATTTATTTTTTCCTTGGTTTGGCGAAAACAAAGAATATATTGATCCTGAAATGAACAGACACAGCAGTCCGTATTGTTAGATCTTTATCTATTAAAAATGGAAAAACAGCACTTCAGCAAATTCTTTGGCCTCTACTCATGATTACCCTATTTATTGATTGTTTGCCAAGAATGTATGCATCTTAAGAAAGCCAGGATAAGAGCATTAAAAATATAATTTATTATGGCTTTTCAAACAGAGTGCATTAATATTGTACTGTGAAGCACTGGGGCTCTATAAAAAAGACTTTCTGACGCCTGCAAACATATAAGTTCCATAAATTCCTAAATAGGAGATTTCAGCTGTCTCTGGTATTATGTGATATTTGCACAGCAAACTTTAATGCCAGGACAGTTTTAGACAAGGATTCTACAGACTTCTCTGCTCCTTATGGCAGACGTGCTGTTTACACAGGCTCATAAACCTTCAGCAAAAGCTTCTAAGACTGCCTTCAGGTTTAAATCATGTGATATTTTTAGCATTCAGCAGTGACCAGTGCTCTCCCCCTTTAAATGCTGGAAGGTTATGAAGTTGCTGTAGTTGGAAGTCTCGCCAAACACTAGCAGGAATAATCAGACAGTTCAGAGAAGGCTCCTGTTCAGCATTACTCTTAGTAAGAGGAGGGCAGCCGGCAACAGTTTGCTAGAAGATGTAGCAGCTAGATTTGTAATGATACAGTTGTTACTTTATAACCGCCTTTGTTACCTTTAGACTACCTCTAAATTTGATCGATAAAGTCCAAAATAAATCCAATGTATTTCAATACTTTGAAAAACCTAGAGTTATTTCACAGGTCCAAGGAGCAACATATAGTAGAACACATCTGTTTCATCCTATAAGGGGAAAAATCAATGTGTATGTTTTTGTTGTACTAACCCAACTCTTTGAAGACATCAAGATGGGGGAGGAGGAACCAAAGTACAGTAATTTCACTTCCTGCTCAAATGCTTTTTTTTTTTTTTAATTTCATGTATTGTGTTCATAGTGACTTATTCTAAAAATGCAGTTTAATTGTAAAAGGGCCTCTGCTTACTCCAAACAACAAAACTACTAAAGCCTTTTGGTCGGGGTTTTTTTTTTTTTTTTCATCTTATGTTTTATGTGCATGGTTTGTGTTTGACAGGTGCTAGATAAAAATTGTGGCTGAGATGAGAAAGAACTACTAAGAAAAGGGGGTTGAATGTTTTTTATTCGTTTAGGAAATTTTGCCAAAATATCTTCAAGCCAAGGAAGAAATCACCAGTTTGCATATTGCTGTTTTTGCTATGGTCTCCCCAAGTCGTCTTCTGATCCCTGACGGGCTCTCTCTCTGGTATAAAACAGCTGAATGAATGACAAAAATATTGGCAAGCTCTGCGGCTTGTTTTTCATGCCTAGCCTGTTGGTACCTCTGAATGAGTTTGTGAGCTTTTCTAAGTAAACCTAAAGGGGTTTATTTGTCAGAGCTAGAATCTCTTGTGAACAGTTCACTGAAGCTTTGGTGAAGACACACATGTAGAAAAATGTAGCTGTTTTATTGTCAGCTTTTGTTCACCAGAAACAAGCAAATAGAGAATTTTTAAAGGTCCTCTCTGGTATCAGTAGGAAATCCTGATTTTTAGCTACGGTTGGTATGCACTAGACATCTTCAGAAGTTGTTAGGATTCTGTGAATCCAGAGGACGGAGCTTATAGAGGCATTAATGTTGTAGGACTAATTGGGGATCCTGGGTGCCCTGTTAAAGTAACCCTTGTCATCATTTATGCTAAAGATGATACCCTCCTGGCAGTTTGCCATAGTACGATACAGATGCATCTGCTTTTAACCCTTTTCTGTTATCATTAGAAATCTCACAGTGCGCTGCGTAAACACCTTGAATACCACAGCATTCCGTGATTTCGGTTTCTGAAAGAAGCCTCTTTCTAATTGTGGTGTGGCTTGTGCTTATTAATCATCTAGCTACTGAGTTATTATGTTGGATTAAAGTAAATAAAGAGAGAACACGTCAAATCTATACAGATTCCTTTATCCTAGTATGTCCTGATGAGGCCACTTTCCTTTTCTCTCTCATTTTTATCCCATTTACTGTAACAATGATTGTTGATTTTAAAGACTTAAGGTTCCTGTGATACCTCTTTAGTCAAGTAGATTAAATGAGTAGTCACAAACCCAAATGTTATTTATCTACATTATGTACATACTGAAATTATTATGGGCATCAGTTTGGTTAAGTTTTATGTTTCTTTTATGGAACCAATTAGAGTAAATATCTAAAAAAGTAAGAAAATGATAATTTTATAGGCAAATATAAATTGTTTGGACACAAACAAGAAAAGTTTATTATTAACAAGATCGTATAGGCAGCAGGAAGGTGGGTTCTTAAGACAACTGTAGTGAGTTATGTTTGCATACTGCATACTACTCACAGCAAATCAGAGAAGACTCACTTGTTTCTCTCTCGTCAGCCTTATTTGATCAGAGAGGCAATTCTGTTTTCATTGCTTTTGGGACATGCACTGTCAATATTAGAGCAGAGCCCAAGTTACCCTAGGACCAAGTTCATACTCTATTTAAGTATTTCTTTTAGAACTGTATAAAATAAAAAAATAATGTATATGTTTGTGTCCCTGTATTTCTATACCCAGTCTGCCTTGGAAACATAGTCTCCCCTTATCTCACTCTTGTGAAGATTTATTTTCATGGGTTAGTTTGTATTTCTGAAGGTTGTTGGTTTTCCATATCTTTTTCTCTATCTTTTTGATAGGAACCATGCTACCAGTTTTCTGTGTGGTAGAACATTATGAAAACGCCATTGAATATGATTGCAAGGAGGAACATGCGGAATTTGTGTTGGTGAGAAAGGATATGCTTTTCAACCAGCTGATAGAAATGGCATTGCTGTCTCTAGGTTATTCACATAGCTCTGCTGCCCAGGCCAAAGGTAAATAATGCATATGTGGGGTTGGAAAAATTGCTTGGCATTCTTTGTTTACCTTGCAGAGAAAGCACTGAATGTTTTTATTCAAAGAACTGTAGCCTGTGTATTACATTGGTTCCTTATAGACTGTGGCTTTAAAAAATTGGCTTAATTCAGTTTGGTTTAGTTAACACACATTTTGCTCATGTGGAATGTCGAGGTAGATTTTTTTTTTAAATTACTTCAGCTGAATCATTAGTATGCTTATTGACCTTAATAATCTGCTCCACTGAGGACCCACAAGGAAGTGAGGAGCGTATTTGAGCAGATGGACTGTTGAGAGTCAATTTGCATTTATGACTGAATATCTAGTTCTGTTTCTTTTATTCTGTTTCTGATGGTTTTATGGGCTGTAAAGTATTTTTCAATGCTGATTCCCACTGCAATAGAGAATCTTATCTAAATCGTAAAGCCATTTAGAACTGGTTCAGCTATGTCTTATTAGAACTTCCTGTAAGTTAGGAAAATGTGGCCTTATGCATAGGATTTATTGATGGGGTTTTATTTCCAAAATAATAAACAACCCTACAGTCATTTACATAATTTCACAATTTGGAAAGCTAAGCTGTGAATATTTTCATTGACCTGCCTTTTAGAGGGAAGGGAATCATTCAAACAGAAATAACAATATTGCTTGTGGTGGGGGCAATAGAAAAAAAAAAAAAACCCTTCTACTAGATATATTTATCTGAGGGTAAAATATTTAGTGACATATTCTCTGTATCTGGAATAGGGCTAATCCAGGTTGGAAAGTGGAATCCAGTTCCACTGTCTTATGTGACAGATGCCCCTGATGCTACAGTAGCAGACATGCTTCAAGACGTGTATCATGTGGTCACATTGAAAATTCAGTTACACAGGTGAGTCAAGACAGCAACTCTATGCAAAATGTTCTTCTTACCTGGTCGTTTGAAATAAAGCACCTCTGGTCAGCCTTCAATTTTTATTTACCCTGTGTTTCGGAAAGATTAATCCAAATCAATTTTGTTACCTTATCCCTTCTGCTTTTAATGTATAATTTAAAAGCAACTCCCCTACCCCAAATTTGTAGGTTTATGCAGGTTATCAAAATATAAGACTTTTTACATTTAGTCAATTAAATAATGCATTACAAGAAGGCATTTTACATAAAGTTTACTTAAGAAAAAAATATTTTTGCATATCATGAACATTGCCATCTGTGTACATTTTCTGAAAGAATGTCTTATTCACTCTTGCCACGATCGTATTTATTTATATGTTTTGTTACCATTTTAATTCGTATGAACGGAGTAGTGAAAGGAAATCAGTTAATACGTTAATGCTTTTCACGATGGCTCGTGAGAAAGCAGTACACCTTAAATTGTCTTCCCAAGCGCATCAGAGCAGGAAGGTAGAAGTAACATGAAAAAATAGCCACCACAGGCAGCTGATGTATAATTCATGCATCGATACAGCAGATGTGTTGTATAAAGTAATTAACTAATCGGAACAATCAGGAGACCGAGAGCAATCTCCAGATGCATCTGTTTGATGCGCAAAATGAAATCTGTCTGTCTTAAAGGAATGTTCTGCAGCGGGATGCAATCTTGTAATAATCCCCTTTCTAATCTATGTCTCCAATAGTTGCCCCAAACTAGAAGACTTGCCTCCCGAACAATGGTCGCACACCACAGTGAGGAATGCTCTGAAGGACTTACTGAAAGATATGAATCAGAGTTCGTTGGCCAAGGAGTGCCCCCTTTCACAGGTACTTAGCATAGCATGTAATAAATAAGACGGCATCGTGGGCAGCCCGGATTCGAGGTTTGATGGGGCTCCCTAGTTTAATGGAACTGGTATCTGAAGCAGGAATCTCCCAAAAATGCATAATGACTTGACCACTGGTGTGACCTTCGAAAATATGCCTGATTCATTCTGAACAGAACCTATATACTTTTCTCCCTCGGGGGAAGAGCCAAAGGACTGTTTACAGGGAAAGTAGTTCAGCAGAAGACTCACTGGCTAGTTTTATACCCCTCGTTTGAGTGTTCTGAGCGTGGTAGCTACGTTCTCCTGAATGCCCTTATTTAAGAAAGAGTCAAGGTGTTTCTACTTCCACAAAGCTTCGGTGAGCTATGCTATCTAATAAAAAAGAGTACAGCTCTTGGACACTTTATTCATTACCCAAAAAATCGAAAAGTGTTTAGTAAAAATAATTATAAAACTAATCTCTTAGCCATCACTAAAGGTTGAATAGTTATTGTTTGTTAGGATTTTGTAACCAGTTTTGTGGCATTGGTTCTCTTTTCTTTTTTTAAAGTGGAATCTTATCTTTTTCCTCTGAGATGCCTGTCATACCATCAGAGATTTTTGAAATGAGACACAGGTTTATTATAATTGTTCTAGGTTTTTTAGAATGAATTTTGGTGGAGGGCAACTAAAACTCTACATAGAGACTGCCTACCTGTTCCTAAATTTAAAACCAAACACCGTTTTCGATAAAGCTCAGCTGATTTCAAATAAAAGAGAAAGAAAACGGATGCTGTGAACGTGCTCTAATGGGCTGCTTATGCGGATGCCATGTAAATGTGTTACAGTGCTGCCCCCTCAGTGCCCAAAGCCATTTTTCCATGATACAGTGTGATTGTAGTGCTGGTCTGACTAGATTTGTACTAAATTTTTAGTTTTCTCTTAAGTTTTGAATGTAATTCTGAGCATTAGTCTGTCAGTCATTTGAACATGAACTGGATGTCTTTGCTATAAACATTTCTACAATTGAGAGATTCTCAAAATGTATTTCTGCTATATTTTGAGTAGTAGATATTCTTAAAATGTATTTCTAAGGTGAGGCTCATGAAGATTACTGGGTACCTTTGAAAGGAAACTCGTGGGCTTTTGTGCCACTGTTTCATAGAAACTCCATGCATTTCAGGTTTACTATATTACAGTCCAACATTTTTACTTTGATGTTTGCTTTAGCAATTTTAGGAATGAAGAAAATGAATCAAGTTTATAATTAATGGCTTTCTGTATTTTTCTAAGGGAAGCTATAGCCACAGGTTAAATATTCTCTGTTGTGTCCATTTTTTGCAATTCAGGGCAAACCTTTTTGTCATTTCAGTTATACTTTTAGCTAATCTCCTTTTCTCTCTCACACTTGGAATAGAGAGGTTATGAATTTATAACCATTGAATAAAAGTAATTTAAATTAATTAAACACAGTTAAATCAATAGGATGATATAATAAAGCAAGGCAACTCTTCTGGGACTTGTGTGTTTTGTAGACAACTCCCGGTAACATGTTATTTGGTTACGGGTATTTGGAAATTTGAAATGACATAGAAATAAACTTTTCTTTTTTTTTTCTGGTCAGTTAAAGTATAATATAAATACCCAGTATAGGAATCTCCCAGGTACCTTCATGTTACTAAGTGTCGCATTGATTTTGGAAGTAAATTCAAAGACTTAAGGCATTCACTGTGAGCTGGAGGAGAGGATAATAGTACAAATATTTATTGATATAGTCAGTGAGAACTAATTGCTAAATGACATCAACATTCAGCCAATAAACTCCACCTTACTGTAGCTTATAAATATAATTGTGAATTTACTTAATGTTATCATGGAAAATGAATTGAATACAGACAATTATAACATTAAATAGAATGACAAAATGAAATTCGGGACTTGGTTTTAGAATCATACATTGGTGAATTTCTGTAGAGGTCTTCAGAAGAACACATGACCTTGTGTAGCTGGAGACCCCACTGTAATCATTAAGTGATGGGACTAGGCTGTAATTTCAACATCAGTTATGATTATAGTCTTCCTTTCTTTAAAAAAATCTTTTGAAAAAAATTATGCGCAATTTAGCAGTGGCAGCAAATATTTGAAATTAATTTATATTTAATAATATGAAAAAATTAAGGAGTTTTATATTTTGTGCATCATCTGTTTCTTTCTCTAGAGTGAATACATGAATCTGATATTCAGAATGTTTTCAATGTGAAATTTTCTGTATGCTTCTTTATTTTTTTTACTGTCCAAAGTTATTCAAGATGAGAGATACAGGCTCCTTAAAACCTATGCCCCAAATATATGCTGAGTTTGACAAGACTACTCTTTCTCTCTTTTGTGGTTGAGATTTGGTGATGGAGATGTTACCGTGAAAAAGCTAGCAAATAAATACTGCCTCAGCCTTCTGTAAAATGGGACCTAACACCAAGAAATGCTAAGTGTTACAGGCTTTACTTCCCCCACAGAGTGTTAATTGATTCACGTGAGAACTTTTAGCATATAATTCAACATCCACATTTTACTGTACATTAAAGGTTTTGTTTTGTTTCATATGATAACAATAAACCAGTAGCAAGTATGGCTATAGGGTCTCTAAATATTTTGCTTAGCAGAAAGCACCCCGGTGGGCAAGGAGACTCCCTTTGCAGAGTAGAGGTTAGAGGAATGAGACTAGGAAGCCACTGAGAATTTGCCTGGGGTGTTTGACAAGCTCTGCCTCCAATGCTCTTAGGAGGATTGTCTGACTCTTGCTAAACTAATGTTCATTTGGAGTTGGATTCTTAGAACTAGAAGGGATTATCCTTCCCAGGCTCCTCCTCTGACAAATGAAGGAGCCAGTGTCCCTAGAGATAAATGTCAAGATAGATGGTGGTTACTGACTGACCCAAAAGTCCTGACTTGCTTAGCCTGTGTCCTTGCCCAATGATAAATTTTAAAGTAAGTATTGATTTTAAAACGAATACTTACGTTTTGGTGCAAAAATGTTTTCTTTGATAATATTTGTAAGGTTTTCTCCAGCTGCAGAAATTCCGTAAGTGGCCATGTGGTTTGATTTACAACTCATACCTTTATTTCTGTTACCCTTTCTTATCATAAATTTGCCCAAATAGATTGATGGTCATTTATTAAGTTCTTTGTACCACATGTTCATTTTTGTAAAATATTCTAAGACGTAAGAAATGCTTAGCTCATTAGAGATCCGAGGTTGGGTGTTTTGTTGTTAACTTTTGCTTTTTTCAGTGGATGTGGTTAGGAAAGTTGGATGTTGCATTCTGAATTGCAACCAAGGAGGAGAGAATAAAGTCTGACCCAGGGACAAGAAAGCCTGTAGCTGGGAAACTTTTGAGGGTATGGATTTGGGAGGTAAATTGGGAATTACAGTAAACATTTTGAAATAAAACATTAAATTTTGATACTAGTTTTCCCTGGAGTTTTAGGAATTAAATATTGGATGAATATGTATACATTCTGTTATAGGGATAGATTCATTTTGTTAAAAGTGCCATAAGTAAAAGGTCAGCTATGACTTCTACCAGCCTAATGTCTTCTTTCTAAAAATGTTGAGGTCAGATATTCCTGAGAGATTTTAATCTGTTACGCGCATTATTACCTCCCCTCCCTCACCACACCAGTGACTGCATGCACGTACAACACACACTCCCCCCACACCTTTGGCATTTTTAAGGCATTGGATTGTTTTCTATTTTATTTCTCACATGGAACAGGTATCTCCAAGCCAAGTCATATAATGTGAGAATTGTCATTTTTTATTTCCAAGTAGCAAAATATATATAAATAAATTAATGTAATATTCAATTTAAAAGTAATATTGAGAAAGACTTTTCAACTTTCCTTTTTCTCACGACATCTGAGGATCTAATGTATGTTAGACTTTTAATTAATTACTGGCAAAACAGATTTAAAAAAGAAACTGTCTTGCCCTCCTGAAACTTAGCATTTAGCCATATGATTCTTTGAAACTTGACAGTCATTTCCATAGGCATTTAATACACTTACGTGTTCAGTTGATTTTCAGTCTGTATTTTAAGTAACACTTGTACAAAAATGCTTTTTTTAAAAAACTGTACTTGTTGCATAATTTTTGGACTGAAATGACATTTCTTAAAATTGTTAATAAACATTAATAATCACATTCTCTCATGAGAATATCCAGCATCAGTGTTCATATATTGTACTTCATACAAGAGTCTGACCTATGAAGTTTATTCACATATTCATATAATTACTCGAAAATATGTATTGACAGTCTGCTGTGTGCCAGGCATCCTGTTTCCTGTGTAGTAATAAGGAAAACACATCTTCATAGTTGAAATAATATTTAACTTTCATTTAGCGCTTTGATATATAAAGAGTGCTTCTATCTCCCTAAGTAGTTGATAGTTTTATATTCCCATTTTCAAATGAGGGCCCTAAGGCACAGAATGTTTAAGTGAGTGTCCCTGGCTACGTAGCTGCTAAATTAGAGGAAGGGGTTAGGTTTCATACTCAGAGCCTGTAAGCATAATCAGGTGTCCTTCTTGGTCACATACACAGACAAAGGAGATTTAAAAAAGAAAAAAAAATTAAAGTCTTTCTCACTTTAATTTGATGGGTTTCATAATATACTTTGATTTCTCTGAAGTACTGATGACTGCTTTAGTTTTTAATACTGTTTTTATACTCACTACTGGAAATTTTCTTTAACGTAACTGTTTTGGTTTTGTGCCTTTGATTTGTTGTTTGTGTACTGACTTGTTTTAAAACTACAGTACCATCATTTCATGCCTCTGATGGGGTGATCTAGACCATAGGGACTGACTGCTGGGATAATCTGGCATTTAGGAGGTTCCAGAAGATTTGACTGCATAGCACAGTCACTTCTGAGCACTCACACCTCTTTCCTGTCCACTTACATCCTCAAGACCAGTAGATATGATTGAGCTAATCGCCCTTTGTTTGGAACCCCAAGGT